CTGTTTTATAGTTCTAAAATAAGTCTCATGTAAGCAACATATATGTGGGTTTTGAATCCATTTTGACAGCCTAAGTCTTTTCATTGGAGCATCTGGTCCATTTACATTCATAGTAATTATTGATAGATATGTATTTAGTGCCATTTTATTACTTGCTTTGTCATTATTTTTGGAGATTTTCTCTGATTTTCTCTTACTTGTCACTTTCCACTCAAAGATTTTCCTTTAATATTTCTTGGAGGACTGGTTTAGTGGTCACAAACTCCTTTAGTTTTTGTCTGGGAAACTCTTTGTCTTTCATTCTGTTCTGAATGATAGTATTGCTGGACAGTGCATTCTTGCATATTTTTCCCATTAAGCATGTTGGATATATTATGCCACTCTCTTCTAGCTTACCACTTTCCTCTAGAGAGATCTAAAACTAAGCTTATGGGTCTTCCCTTATAAATTAGGGGCACTTCGTTTTACTTGCTGTTTTTAAGATGTTTTCTTTATCACTATACTTTGCAAATTCACTTTAATATATCTTGGTGTTGGCCTGCTAGTGTTGATTTTGATCAGAGTTCTCTGTGCCTCTCTGGATTTTGGTGTCTTTTTCCTTTCCCAGATTAGGGAAGGTTTCTGCTATGATTTTCTCAAATACGTTTTCTGTCGCCTTTTCTCTTTCTTCTTTTGGTGTGACTCCTATAATGACAATGTTATTATGCTTGATGGAGTGACTGGATTCCCTAAGTCTTTTACCATGTTGCATAATTCTTCTTTCTTTCTTTTGTCAAGCTTCATTATTTTGCATTATTTTTATCTTTTTTGTCACTTATTTGTCCTTAGAGTCTTCCAAACTTGTGGCCATTTCATTAAGTGTGCTTCAAATTTTAGTCATTGAATTTTTTATTTCTGATTATTTCTTCTCTCTTTTATCTCTCCAGTAAGGGCCTCCCTGAAGTCTACCATTTTTTGTTAAGCCCAGCAATTATTTGTATGACTGTTGCTTTAAGTTGTCCAACAGGCAAATTATTTATATCTGTTTCACTTAGATCACTGGCCATGGCTTTATCTTGTTTCTTTTGGGATGAATTCTTCACCTTTACATTTTGTCCAAGTCACTGTATTCTTCTGTGTATTAGAAAAGCCTGTTATGTTTCCTGTTCCTGAGATTAATGGCTTTATGAAGATGAGATCATATAGTGTCCAAGTTTTACAATTCAGTGAATGTATCTGGTGTGTACTATATGCATTCTCTTCCAGTGTTTTGGCTGCTCTATCCTTTAGGGTGGTAATCTGCAGAGAATCTCCTTGCCTGCAGGAGGCAGTTAATCCGTGGCCAGGGTTTGGTGGTTTTAACTGGGGATGCTCTGTTCTGCTTGTTAAATGAGACCTAAAGCTACCTCCACTAGAAATGAAGCATTGCAGAAATTTCTCACTGGGAGATATGGTGTGGATGGGATTTCTGTTGGTCTTCCAGGAAAGGTAGCTGTCGCACTGGGACTGATGCCAAATGGATCAAGAAGGGCAATGCTGGCAGAGCACATGGGTATGAGTGCTGGTGCAAGCAGATTAGGCAGCCAGTATCTGTACTGTGCTGTTTATCAAAGGTGTTTCAGTGTTTATGCTGAGGGATGAGAGAGAGAAATGGTGATATCCAGCTCCTTTCTCCCTGGAAAGGGGTCTCCATGTTTGTTGTTCTCAGGGAAGCAATCTGAGAAAAGTGAATAATCTCACCCCTGTGTTTCTAAGGCATTTTTCAGATTGCTGTTTTCATGATTTCTGCCTCCAGATTTTTTTGCCTGCCTCCTCTACAGGAGCAGAGCAAGGTCCTCCAGACTCTTTCCCAGCCAAGTCTCATGACTTTTGCAACTCTAGGCTTTAGGGAAGAGGTATGGGCAAGGGTCTGTGCTAGTCTCCTGGGGGAGGTTGTTGCCGCACCAAGACTGAGGCAAGTTTGACCATGAGAGGCTTTCTGCCAGAGTGTAGTGGCATAACACTTGGAGCAAGCAGGCTAGACAGTGAGTGTCAGGGACCAGCTACCCTCAACAGATGGTTTTGCATTTATGCTGAGGGTGGGGGAGGGAATTGGCACCTGCTGGCTCCTTTTTCCTTAATGAAGTGTCTCTGTGAATGCTACCTCTCCTGGACAAGTTCCGAAAATAGTAAATAATCTCCCCAATGTGTGACTTGGGTGACCCTCTAATCACACTCTTTGCCCCTGGGGGTTATTTGCCTGCGTTCTCTCCAGGAGTAAGGTAGGGGGATGAAAATGGTACCAACCAGCTCCTTTGTTACTAGAGAGGGGTTGCATGCTGTTCTCAGGTGAACTCTCTGAAGAAGAGGGAATAATTTTCACCATGTGCCTTCCAGGCATTTCTTAGACTTCTGTTTTCATGGTCTATTCTTAGACAGTTTGCCTTTCTTCTCTCCAGGAGCAGTTCAGTGAATTGCAGCTCTATCTTAGCCAAGACAGCTGACTTTTACACCTCCAAACGTTAGGATGCAATGTGGGTGGGAGCCTATTTTTTTCTTCAGAGGAGGATTTTTCTGGGCTTAGGACCAGTGGGAGGTTTGATCAAGAAGGACATTTATGCCAGAGTACAGGGGAATGTGATTTGGAGCAAGCATGCTTGGCAGGCAGCTCTCCACCTATGCTGTGTAGGGGAGTGGAAATGGTCCCTAGGCTCTGTTGTCCCTGAAAAGGGTCTCTGTGAATGGAACCTCTCACAGATGCACTCCAAGAAGAAGGAGAAATCTCCTTATTGTGTACCTTTGGTATTCCTCAAAAGTGCACTCTGATGCTGGGTTGTTTGCCTGGCATCTTTCCAGGATTAGGGTAGTGTCCTCAGGGCTCTATCCCAGCCAAGCTTGCTGACCTTCAAAACTTCAGGCTTCAAGTCCAGCAGGTTTCAAAAATAAAACAAACAAACAAAAATCTAGCCATTTTCATTTTCCCTGCTGATGGCTAGTAGTAGTATTCCCCTTGCCTATTCCCTTGTGTGTTCCCTTCTCTGTTGTCTTTCTTGCAACAAGGGCACCCTCCTCTCTACAGTGCTCATGATCCTTTTCTCCCCAAAACAACATCTCCAAATTTTCTACCTTCCTTGATGTGGCCTCTTCCTTCCCTCTAGTTGTGGAGTTTGTTCTGTCAGTCCCCAGGCTGATTTCTTGGGCATTCAGAATGATGTCAGAGATATCTAGTTGTTTTAAGATACGAGATGAGCCTAGATTCTTCCTACTACACCTCCATTTTAACTCCTGTCATCACATTTTTATACACTAGTGATGAAGCAGCATAAAGAGATATTAAGAAAACATTCCTATTTAGAACTGTACCAAAACCAATAAGATTCTTAGGAAGAAACTCAATCAAAAAAGTGGAAGACTTGTACTCTGCAAAGTATAGAACTTTGATGAAATAAATTGAAAATGACACAAACAAATGGAAAGATATTCCGTGTTCATAGATTGGGACAACAACCATTATTAAAATGTCCATACAACAAAATAAGCCTACACATTTAGTGCAATCCCTATCAAAACACCTGTAGCATTTTTCACAAAATTAGGAAAAACAATTCTATGGGACCATCCTGAATAGTCAAAGCAATCTTGAAAAAGGCAAACAAAGCAGGAGGCATCACTATTCCAGTATTCATTTTAAACTACAAAGCTGTAGTAATCAAAACATTATGGTACCGGAATAAAAATAGACTCATAGATCTGTGCAACAGGATAGATAATGCAGAACTAACCCACATTATATAGTAAATTAATCTTTGACAAATGAGGAAGGGATATCCAATTGGAAAAAGACAGTCTCTTCAACAAATAATGTTGGGAAAATTGGTCAGCTACATGCAAAAGAATGGAACATGACCATTCTCTTGCACCATACACAAGAATAAACTCAAAATGGATTAAAGACCTAAACATAGACCTGAAACCACAAAAAATCCAAGAGAGCACAGCCAGTAATTTCTCTGACATTAGCCATAGCAACATTTTCTTAGATATGTCTTTTTAGGCAAGGGAAATAAAACCAAAAATAAGTTATTGGAACTATATCTATAGAAAAATCTTCTGCCCAGCAAAGGAAACAACCAACAAACATAACAAAAAATCTACTGAATAGAGAAGACATTTGAAATGACATGTCCAATCTGAGTTAGTATCCACAATATATGAAGAACTTATGCAACTCAATGCCAAAAATCCAAACAATCCAATGTAATGGATATGTCCAAAAGAATGGACAGAAGACATGAACAGACATTTCTCCAAAGACATTTAACCAGATGACCAAAAGATACATCAACATCATTCATCATCAGAGAAATTCAAATCAAATCCCTAGTAAGATAACACTTCATACTGTTAGAATAGATAAAATAAAAAAAAAAAAACAGAAGAAACAATCAGTGTTGAAAAGGATGTGGAGAAAGAGAAACACTTGTGCATTACTGGTGGGAATGCAACCGTGGAAAACAGTTTGGAGATTCCTCAGAAATGAAAGATGGAATGAAAGATGTTCATCTGTGATCCTTTTTACGTAGAGTATCCCCCACCTTATTTTTTAAGCCAGCAGTTCTGCAGTTGGATATGTTTGGTGTGTTTGGTTTTTCTGAAGCCGCAGCTGACTTGATTCCTGGAAGATTCCGTGTTTAATGTGTCTTTAAAGCCTCGCTCTTGTTATAAGGGCGGGCACTTTCCAAGCAGGCTTGTTTTGCATTTTGAGTTGGATCCTCGTGTGGTGATTTTTATTTATTTTTTTTTATTTTAAGCTCTTTGCACTGAGGTTTTTATTTTAAGCTCTTTGCACTGAGATTGACAGCCTTGGGAGTTCCCTGAAACACGGACCTCAGGATTGCCTTTTGAAAATAAACACATAGGAACGTATGCCACAGAAGCTGTTCTGGGGACATTGCTGGACCCTGCCCCTTTGCCTCCTCTCTCCCTGTTTGTGTTACAAAAATAAAAACACATACAACTACAAAAAAAAAAATAATAATGAGCCTTGGAAGCGGATTAAAGGCAGTGAGGCTGACAGGCAACGGGCTGGGACCGTAACAGGCCTGGCAGTGAACATAGCTGCCTTGTTGTCCGTCATACTGCAGCCTTACATGCCCACAGTCAGTGCCACCATCCAGGCCCAGCTGCAGCTGCCACTGCCGGCTTGCAGCATCCTGCTCACAAACTTTCTGTGCACCTTACCGACCGGACACCAGATTGGCACAGTCAGTCCCTTATTCCAAAAATTGGAAAATGACCAAATTGAAAGTTTGAGGCAGCGCTTTGGCGGAGGCCAGGCCCTAGTGCCCCCCATGCCAGCTGTTGTAGAGGCCGCCGTCACAGCTGCTCCGCGGCAGGTACAAGTGCTCACGGATGAAGTGACAAGACAGGGCAACATCGTCCGAGAACTGAAAGCGCAGAAGGCAGACAAGAACCAGGTTGCTGCTGAGGTGGCTAAGCTCTTGGATCTGAAGAAACAGTTGGCTCTAGCTGAGGGAAAACCCCTTGAAACCCCTAAAGGCAAGAAGAAAAATGAAAGAGCCTGGCTCATAGAAAGTTACTTTAATGGATATGGACAGTAATAAATAAATTTACAATCTCTCTTTAAAAAAAAAAAACAAACATTACCTGGATCTACTAAGATAATTTGAAACATTAATTCAAAAAGATGTATGAATCCTTATGTTTATAGCAACTTTATTTACAATAGCCAAAATATGGAAGCAGTACAAGTGTATACCAATAGATGAATGAATAAAGAGGAAGTGGAGATATATATAATGGAATATTATTAAGCTATAAAAAGAATGAATTCTCCATTTGCACCAACATTGATGGCTTATGAGAGTATAATGCTAAGTGAAATAAGTCAGAGAAAGACAATAACATAAGATTCATTTACATGTGGAATTTAAGGAACAAAATAAAAGAGCAAAGAAAAAAGCAGAGAGAAAAAAAAAAAAAAAACAGACTCTTGACTATAGAGTACAAACAGTGGGTTACCAGGGTAAGTGGGTTGGGGGAATGGATGAAATAGGTAAATGGTGTTAATAGGACACTCATTTTGATAAATATTGAGGAATACATTGTTGAATCACTATATTCTATACCTGAAACTAATATAACACTGTATGTTAACTATGCTGGAATTAAAAGAAAAATTAAAATGAAACAATAAAATAATAAAATAAAGTAAAATTCATAATGCTTTTGTTGAAGTTTATCTTACAGAAAAAAGGGGAAAATAAGCTTTTTAAAAGTGACATAATATAACAATGCATATGGGGTACCTAGGTGGTTCAATTGGTTGAGTATCGAACTCTTCATTTTGGCTCAGGTCTTGGTTTATCCCAGGTCTTGGGGTCCTGGGATAGAGCCCTGGAGCATGGACTCCATGTTCAGAGTGAGAATACTTGAGGATTCTCTCTCTCCTTCTAACCCCTCCCCCATTCCTTCCCTCCCTTTCTCAAATAAATAAATATTATATATATAATAATATATGCTAATTATACTTTTAATTAGTTAATGACACAAAACCCAGAAAATTGGTAAATGAAAACATTAAAAAACATCTCTGAATATAAGTAGAAAATAAGATGAATATAGATAGAAAAAATCAGCCTAACCCGTATAGGTTTTGCTTAAAAAGTTAAATAAAACATTGGAGGAAGTACAGTTAACTCTTGAACAAAATGGATTGACCTGCACTAGTCCACTTGTACTGAATTGTTTAAGTTGATAGCAAAAGCCAAGGCATTTATTTACAGTTGCCCACCCTAGTCTCCCCAGGACCTAATCAAAGGCAACTGGTGCTAAAATTGTGCCTACTGCCTTCACAATACCCAGGGAGGCCCACCAAGGTTTTCAGTAGCCCCCAGGGGTCCCAAGACCCAGCAGTGTTTCAGGTCATGGTTGTGCTCACAGGATGATCTATAGAGCACCCAAGCCTGGAATACAAGAGGACAGGCTGAAGCAGAGAAATGTGCCCAGAGTATAGGTATGGCCCTGTACTGGGAGCCTCATGCCCTTGATGCCCATGTGGCATCCCCAGTTCTTTACACACATAGTTCTTTACACTATGGAGGTCTGGGCCAGGGTGGTTGTTGGTTTCCAGTTTTTCCTGGACAGGTGCAGACACCTTCCCACAAAGGTCCCCCAGATACAGGAGACTCTCCTAGGGACCAGTGCACTCAGTTGTGACTGCTGCTGCCAATAGTTACAGGCCAGTGATACAACTATAAGTCAGATTGGGTGCATGTACTGTGCCTCTAGGCCACTGTCATTGCCACCTGCAGAGCTGCCTGACAGCTTTCCACTGCTAAGCCTAGGCAATCAAGCTGTAAAACATCACCATCCACGGCCAGGTCTACCATCACCACTTCCCTTTTCCAGCTCAGCCTAGCCAGGTTTGCCTACCTATATTTGGATTTTTTTTTTAAATAAGTATGCCTACACTGCTGTGATTATATTTTCTCCTCCTTCTGATTTTTAAAAATAATATTTTCTTTTCTCTAGCTTGCTTATTATAAGAAGACAGGCTATAACCCATGTGACATACAAAATGTGTTAATAGGCTGTTTATGTTATTGGGAAGGGTTTCTAATCAGTAGTAGGCTATCTACAGTAGTAATTTAGCTTTGGGAGAGTCAAAAGTTACACTTGAATTTTGACTGTACAGGGGTTCACTCTTCCAACCCCTGCATTGCTCAAGGGCTAAATATATATTTATTCAAGACTGAGATTATACTCTGATGTAAATTATTTTCCCACTAAATATTTTGAATTCTTGTCCTCTTTTGCATTTCTTTTATTATGAGATATTGAGCTTCTTCTCACATGTTCATTTGTGTTGTGAACTGTATTCATACCCTTTGCTTATTTTTCATTGGATTGTTGGTTCTTTCATTAATTAACAAGATATATTTGTGTCATGGAAATAATGCTTTTGTCTAAATACAATGTGTAAATAATCAAAACACACTTGGAATTTTTCCATTTCTTTCCATCTGTAGCCACTACGGTAGTCCTAGTCAATATTTATTTTTCTCTCTTGAGAGATTGCAACAACCTGCTGAACAGACTTTTTATTTTCAATCAGAAGAGATGACTAAGCAGTTGGGCTGGTTTAAGTTTGGGGATTAATTTAAACAGAATTCAGTAAAGAAACATTTAGTAATAAATTTGAAATATTGTTGACTATCTATTAAGTACTTTAAGAAGGGTACATCTTGATAAGAAAAGAAACAAAACCAAGAAAGAAATGGTGAATTTGGAAATTGGGGCAGTACCAATGGCCAGGAAGTCTAAGGGCTGTATTGCTTGTTTCTTATTAATAGTTGTATTGGTATATAATTGGCACATTATAAAGTGTACTTATTAAAAATATATCATTGAATATGTTGTGAAATATGTATGCATTCTTGAAACCATAACCATAATCCAAAAAATACACATGTTCATTATCCTAAAACTTCCCTCATGAGACTTTATAATATTTCTCTCTGTCCCTTTCTTTCCCTCATTTCTTGCCCTCCTTGCCCTCCTTATTTCCATGCAGTCATTGTGTTCCACACATTCTAACATTACAGATTAATTTTCACTTTCTATAATTTTCTAAATGGAATCAAACACTATGTACAACTTTGTACTTTCTTCTATCATTCAGCATAACTATTTTAAGATTCCCCCATGGTGTTGCATGTATCAATAGTTCATTACTTTTTATTGCTATATATTATTCCATTTTATGTACATATAATAACTTTTTCTATTCACTCTCCTACTGATAAATATTTAGGTTCTCTCTAGTCCTTACAACTGACAAGGAAAGCCATCATGGATATTCATATAAAAATGTCTTTATGGACATACATTTTTATTTTTTATTTTGCACAGGAGAATGGCTGAATCATATGGTAGATTTATAGCTTATATTTTCAAGAAACTATCAAATTTTCTTCTGAAGTAGTAGTATCATTTTATATTCCTAAGAGCAATGTGTATGAGTTTTAATTCCTCTACATCCTTGCCAACACTTGATATGGTCAAGCTTTTTAATTTTAGACATCCTAATAGATGGTTAGTGGTATTTCATTTTGGTTTATATTTGTAATCCTTCATGACTAATGATACCAAATATCTTTTCATGTACCTATTTTCCTTCATATATCCTATTTAATGAAGTATCTGTTCAAATCTCTTGCCTATTTTGTATTATATTTGTATTAGCATTTTGAGAATCCTTATATATTCTGCATAGAAATCTTTTATAAGATTTTTGGGTTACAATTATTTTCTTCCAAACCATGGATTATCTTTTCATTATCTTAAAAGTGTCTTGCAAAAAAAAAAAAGTTGTTGACTTTAATGAGATTTAATGTATCACAGTTTCCTTTTTTATGTAGCATTTTTGGTGTCATATCTAAGAAAATATGTTTAACCCAAGGTCACAAAGATTGTCTCCTGTGTTTTCTTTGAGACCTTTCATAGGTTTAGGTTTTATATTTACATCAATGATTCATTTATATATTCACTTATGTATTCAAGGTTTGGATTAAAGCTTTTATTTTCATACAGATAGCCATATGTATCTATCATCTTTTCACCTTTGTTGGTGATCAGTTGTTCAGCTGTGTGTGGATCTGTTTCTGGACTTAAGTTGATCTGTTTGCTTTTTCCTTACACCAACACGAAATTGTCTTCATTAAAGTAAATTTATAATAAATTTTGGAGTTAGATAGTAGGACTCTGCCAATCTTGGTCTTTGTATTTTTGTTTTTTGTTTGTTTGTTTGTTTGGGCTGTTCAAGTTCTTTTGAATTTCCATGAGAAGTTTATAATTATCATGCCATTTTCAACAAAAAGAGTATGCTGATCTTTAGAAAATATTTTATTTATTTATTTCACAGAGAGAGAGCAAGCACATGAGAGAACACAAGCAGGGAGAGCAGCAGAGAGAGAGGGAGAAACAGGTTCCCTGGTGAGTAGGGATCCTAATGCAGGGCTCCATCCCAGGATCCTAGGATCACAGCCTGACCTGAAGGCAGACACTCAACCTACTGAGTCATCCATGTGCTCCATGTGCTTCAAGGGTATGTTGAATTTTAATCTAACATATTAAGTCTTCTAATTCATAAACATGGTATGATCATCCATTTATTTCGGTCTTTTTAGTTACTTTCAGATGGTTTCCATCCTTACATAGTTTCTTCACATGCTGGTGCTATCCATTCATGCTGGAGGAATTAGAGTGGACCCTCTGCAGATCTCTTGAGTTTTATCTTTGGGCAGCTTTCTTCTCTTCTATACTCTGCCTTAGTCCCTGCACTCAGGGTTTCTTCCAGGCTCAGCCTGTTTCCTCTTTTTCTTTGATGCAACCTAGAAACCTTCTTAAGACAATAAGCTGTAGAAAATTTAGGATTTTCCTCATTTGTTTCCTATCCCTTTGAGATCACTCTCCTCTATTGTCTGATTCCTGATATCTTGGGTTCTGTTGTTCCAGGCATTTTGTTCAATTTTTATGATATTTCAGGCTGGAAATTAAATGCATCTTGACTAAAATCAGAAATCTTGAACATATTATA